CCAGAGCTGGGATACTGCTGCATCGGGGGTGGAGGTCCTGTTTATGGGGTAGGGGTCCTGTCTCCACCCACTGAGGGTCAATGCTTGATTGACTGAATGCTGGGCTTGTTGCTAAGGCTTTGGTCTTGTAGGCTAGTGGCGGATTCGGGTAGGCATGGCAAAGCCACAAATTATCAGCTCTGAAGCACACAACTTCCTGCCCACAGCCGCACAGAGGCTGCTTTTTCTATCCTCTACAAAAGGCCCAGAACTTTGTTCTAACCCTCCTAAAGGTCCCTTCTGTCCCTACAGAAGTAATTTCGGTGCTAATTGTTTCTTCTCACCTAAGGGTTTGGGCAACCATATGCAAATATATTCCCCACATTTCCCACAGTGGAACTTATATTCTTCCACTAGCAAAATGTAATCTTGTAATATGCAATTTCCATTTCTAATAGTCTCAGAGTTGGTGCACAAAAGCAGAGTGAGGAAAAGAATCAGAGAACAGGGCCCACTTAGCAGACCAGGCCCTTCCTGGATTGTGTCTAGTGTTCAACGGCCATCTGGTATTGCAATTATAAGCTCCCTGGTGTCCACATACTAGCTCTTGTTGAGCTATCCGGTACATTCAGCTTTCAGCATAATCGTCACACCCTTCTCTAATACCTGTACTAAATGCATGTTATGTGTCAGGCCAGTGAGTGTAACAGAGAAGACCGTGTACTCAGTCTGCTTATATTTAAACAACAACCCATGGAATTGCATAATGTGTAGGATATGACCTCCTTTCCAAAGTCCTCCTTTACTGTACCCAGAAGAGACATATTTACAAATGAGTTCGCCCATTGAGGGGATCTTCTATAGAGTTCAGGAATGAGAAATCTGGTCCAAGTCCCTGTGCTTAGCTGGGGTTTCATTAAAATATCTTACTTTACTCTAAACTGTGTCTCTACCAATAGTTCTTTGACATAATAGTAGATATTACATTTTTAGAAAGAATATTACAATACAGAGCTAATGACTGCACATCCCTCTTTTCAGAAATGTGCGTCTCCTGTGCTGTGAGCGCTACCCCTGCGTTGCAGTTAGACACGACTGACAGTGCTCGCGAGTGGACTCCTCTGCTTCTCAGCAGGAATGGAGAGATGCCCGCTGCCCTCTCATCATTGTCTCTCATTGCTTGGAGAAACTCTCTGAGCTTTTTTCCCAAGAAAATGATCCCATCTCTGTCACTGTCTTGTGGCATTCTCGTTTCCACTCGGAGCCTGTCTCTGTCCATCCTGTTACGCTGAAGTCAGTGAATACAGAGCGGCCACAGAACTGCAGGCCCAACCGAACAGGGCAAAGCTGAGCACTTGATCCATTAACACGCTGGTTTATTTTTTCATGCAATAAGTAGATAGTGGTGCCTATTGTGTAAAAGACAGCGTCCTGAGTTCTAGAAGTCTTCAAGAATTCCAGTCTAGTTTGTTAAAAAAAAGGTTAAAAAGCCATAAGTCATAAATACATATAAATATTAATATGTGTGAATATGCATAAAAGACCATCCACACAATACAAATAATGTATATTGTATAAAATATACATGTGTTGATGTATGTATTAGTATGTACTTATAATTTTGTATGACTATATATTATGTAATATATTTATATTATGTATTATACTCTACACTTTTAAATATTATCTATAATGAATATAAAGAATATGTAATGAATATATAAATAATATATATTTTATAAACTACATATAAGTAAATGCATAAAAATGTTTTTATGGTTAGATTTTTGGCAGTTATGGGGATTGAACTCAGAGCCTTTACACTGAGTTACATTATCCCAAGCACTTTTATGAGTTTATTTATTTTCTGTTTTGTTTTGTTTTTTCGGGACCGGGAATCGAACTCACAACCTTGAGCTTGCCAGGCAGGCGCTGTGCTGCTGAGCTAAATCCCCAGCCCTTTTCTTTCATTTTGAACCAGGATCTCACTAAGCATAATACATACATGATTTAAACAGCATATTTGTACATTTACCCTTTGATAGTTCTCTATAAAAGGTACTCTGTGAGTACTGAGAAGAATTTACCAAACCACATAAGGAAGTCAAGAGAAATTTGTAAGAAGTGATATTTGCATGAGGTTTTAAATGATCATTAACTATTTCCTGGTTGGAAAAACAGAAACATTTTTGCCAAGAACACAAGAAACATAAAAGAATAGAATCAATAAAATAGCCATGGGATGGTTGGTTGAATGAAACAAAACAGGGTGTTTTGATTGGAGTAGAAAAAAGATGGGATTGAAAAGGTGCTGAAACGGGAAGAAGTTCAGCTACCACATAACATTACAGAGCACTACCTTACGTCAGGGTTACAGCAAGGCAGACATGGGCCCGATCCCATCTTCCATATTAGCTCACTGTGAACACTGGGAAAGGTTATTTACTTTTTTGGTAGTTTCCTCCTCTGAAAAGTGAAGGTAAAATGATTCAGTTACAAGAAAGATACATTATTATGTAAAATTTTGGGCAGGGTCCGAATCATGCAAGGCTGCAGTATATTGAAACTATCACCATAGCACTTTACTGTGGGAACAGGAAGCTATTGAAAGACTAAAGACAGTGCAGTGAGTCTTGGAGTTCATGTTTCCCAGACACTCTGCATGACTGTCAAGGAGAAAGAGTGAAAAGCCCAGCGAGTCAGGCAGTACAAGTGAAGTTTCAGAGGGCTCAGTTAGGATGGTGTGCAGAACTAAGGACTAGGACAAGGAGGGCAGCGATGAAACAATGTTTTCTCCCCAATATATTAAACACATTGATGACTCAATTCCACAAGCATAAAAACTCAAATTTGTCCTTGACTGGTTTATTTGTGAAAACATCCTAATCCTATCCAACCTGTCCAGCTACTCACATCTGCTGCCACTAAGTCCTACCGCTCAGGAAATCATTTCTCCCTAGGGAACTACAAACCTTACAACTCACCACTCTGCTTCTATTCTGGACTCTCTAAAATCTCTGTCCACACACACCTCTTCTCTCAACTCTAACTCTCAAGTGTAATAAAAGGCAAAGTAGTTTACACGACATACAAATCCGCGATCTAGTCTTTAGCTGCTGGTTCAACTGCATTTCCCACCACTCCCCACTTCACTTCCCACATGTATATTGCCTATACATGGTCCCCCTTTAGTATCTCAAACTTCTCAAGCTGCTTTCCACTTCAGAGACCTTCACCTGCTGTTGCTATGGCCTGGAATGCTTTCCAAGAGATCCATATACTTGCCCCTGTATTTCATTCAGGCTCCTTCTCTGGAGTTACCTCACGGGGGAGGTCTTCTCTGCCTTCTAATTCCTTATAGCACTCCATTTCCTTGCCTTTAGAGTACAATTATGTGTTGCTTTTGTCTCTATTCTGCTTGCATTAGCCATTATATTTCCAATACCTATGCTAGTCCCTCTTGTCATATAAGGTGGGCAAGTATTTGTTGAATCAATTAGGAAATAATTACAAAATCATAGGATCAATGGGAAAGCAAATATATCTTTAAATGCCAAAATAATATTTAAAGCATCTTAATGACGTGATAGCTCAATCTCTAGAGCTAAAACTAAATTTTTTTTAAAGGGCAGACATAGTCCATTCACAAAATGCTCACACGCTAAAAGCCATAAAGAAAATGACAATACTACACAAAAAGTGGCATGAAGACTTATAGGAACACATAAGAAAAGTATGCGATTTATGAGTAAAGAATGCACTAAGAGGGCTGGGGATGTAGCTCAGCGGCATGGTGCCTGCCTGGCAAGCACCAGGTCCTGAGTTCAATTCCCGATTCCAAAAAAAGAAAAAGAATGCACAAAAGCTTTTTGAAGGATTTGATGTGCGATCTAAGGCTGGTGGTGTGAATAGAGTTAGCAAGACAAAGAGTAAGGAGAAGCTACTCCAGGAAGAATAGTTTTCCTTCTGGGAAGCATGAAAACACAAATGCTGGGACACAAGTAAGAATGCTAGAGAAACTGGAAGACTTGTTGATCACCATTAATGCTATCATTGTGAGATAGAAAATCCGGGTGAACTAGAAGAAAGACTACAAGCAGAGATAAGGCAGAGTCTTGCGTGCCATTTTAAACCTTTTGTGACTCATGTCAAATCTAGTATGTATTATCGCTCTTGCTAGAGCACAGTTAACTGATTTGAGAAGTACAAACTGAAAGTCCTTGAAATAATCCAGAAAGAGATAATAGTCATCTGAATTCAGAGAGCTCAAATTAAGATTGTGAATGGACAGATCTGAGGTATTTAGCGGACAGGAATTCCAGGTGTTGCTGATTGATTGTTTGGATTCTAGGAAAGGTGTGATATGCAGGAAGTTGATACTGGGGGAACAGATGGAGCTCGGAGGACAAGTACTTGTCCAGCACGCGCAACACCCAGGCTTTGATTCCTGGGAGTGCAAAAAACTTGACTTTAATTTATGCCACTGAATAATTAATAAATGCACATTAACAGGAAAACTGTTAAGGAAAAGACTTTTGGATGTGTTTTTGAGGTAACTATGAAACAAAATATCAGGATACACATACTTAGTGTTCTGCTAGATACAAGTCAGAAAATCATAGTGGAAAACACTTGTGGAGCACTATATCTGATGCTTATGAATACATTGTACAGGTGGCAAAAGGAGTCATGGAAGTAAATACATTGTCTGAAGAAAAATAAGAGTTAGAAAATTGCCACTGATGTCAATAACTATACATAAGGGGTGCACAATGACCATAAATGAGCAAAGAGGCCTGAGAAGGAATGGAAATAGTGCAGTATAAAGGAAAACCTGGTGAGGATGATGATATTAAGAAAGGTTTCAAAGGGTAGTAAGAGTTATAGGATTGATAATAATGGAGTAGATGATACAAAAGAATAATGATGATTGTGATGTTGCTTACGGTGATGAGAAATTTGTAAAGCTGAAGAATTAATAAACAAAAATATGCATTTATTTTCAGCTCAGTACCTGAGGAATGCCAGCGCAATACCCTCTTGGTCCTCAATTCATAATCCTCTCTAACATTACTCATTTCAACCCCGTGCTCTCCTTCACTGGCTTTCCGGGTTTGGAAGCTATCCAACACTGGATTCTCATTCCCTTTTTCTTCATGTACCTGGTGGCCAGCTCAGGGAACTGTTTCATCCTGATAATTATTAACACCAACCCTCAGGCCCGGGGATTTAGCTCAGTGGCACAGCACCTGCCTGGCAAGCACAAGGTCGTGAGTTCAATTCCTAGTACCAGAAGAAAAAAAACAAACAAAAAAACAAGACCAACCCTCATCTCACAGACCCACGTACAAACTACTATCCTTAGGGGTGCTCACTGTTCTGGGACTTTCTGTGTCCATCGTGCCCACCACTATGGGGATCATTTTGTTCAACTCCCGTAGTATCTATTTTGAAGTTTGCCAAATCCAAATGTTCTGCATCCACTCATTATCTTTTATGGAGTCTGCAGTGCTCCTTGTCATGCCTTTTGACTGCTTTGTGGCCATCTGCCATCCCCTGAGATATTCAGTCATTATCATAAGCCAGCCAGTGATAATGGTAGGCCTGTGTGTCATTCTTCGAGGACCTGTGGCCTTTTTCCCTCCTGTTCTCCTCCTGAAGGCTTTTCTGTACTGTGATCCTCTGGTCCTCTTGCACTCATTTTGTCTACAGCAGGAGGTGATACATCTGGCCTGCATAGACACCACCTTCAGCAACCTGTACGCACTGACCCTGGGGGTGTTCACTGCCATGATGGACATGCTGCTCACCGCACTGCCCTACACATCCATCCTGCACACAGTGGCAGAACTAGGCTCCCGGAAGGAGCAGTTATCAGCCTTCCAAACATGCACCTCACATCTCTGTGCAGTGCTAATATTCTTTGTGTCCATGTTGGGGCTCTCCCTGGTACATCACTTTTAGAAAGATGCCCAGCCTGCTGCCCACCTTCTTATCGCTAACATCTACCTTTTTCTCCCTCCCATGCTTAACCCAATCATATACAATATTAAGACCAAGGAGATCCTGCTCGCCACCATCAAGCTCCTGGGCATTAGAAAGGCCAATGCTAAGGTCTGGGGATAAACATCACTGAGCCTCTGTCATACAGTCTGTCATCAAGCCAAAAATTCACAGCATTTAGTTCCTTTATAACTCTTCATGTCTCAAAGAATTTTTTTCTTTACCAGAAAGAAAGTATAAGTCAATTTTTCTTGATTTATGGATTAAGACTACTAACCTTGTCTTATTTAAGTTGTAAAAACTCCTCCTACATCTGAAATGTGATGTTTTTGATAGCATCAGACACTACCCCAAGGGAGACTTTACTGAGAATATCAACCACATATAAATGCTCAAACTAAAATGAAACAAAACAACAAAGAAATGGAATAAACAAGAAAGCACACAGAACAGATGGCAGCAGGACAAGATAAATGTCATTTGCTCTAATTCACCTCCTGCTATGGTGCCACGGGACAGCTTCCAACTTCTCTCCCTGGCTCAGGGCATTCATGTGTGTTTCTAGCCTGGCTAAGCAGTGTCCTCCAGACTCCTGAGTCCCATCAGCACATGAAAGCTCCTCCACCCTTCCCCAAACCTGGCTTGAGCAGGACTTCTCTCACTTCTTTCAAAGATGCTCCCCTCTGACCTTGTTCTTCCACAGAAGCTGTTGACCCTCTGTCTGGGTTTACCTTTCCTGTGAACAGCTGAATCCTACAACTCAAGCTGGACATGATGTTGAAGTCAATGTTGACCTCCAGGAGCTTTAAATGTAATATGTTGAACAAAGACACAAAGTGTGGCAAAGCTTCAACCCAGAAAGCAGCCATGCATATGTTCCATCACAGTCCCACTGCTCAGGAGGTCATGAGTTTAAAACTGCTTACCACTGGCACACTGCAATCCATGCTGGTGTTCAGCTTTGAGGTTGCTTCCTCAAGGATGTTTTATTGACAGGCCCATGTCCCAAATCCAGGGAAGCAGATGCTTCGTCTGTTTGTTTCCTGTATTTTCCATTGTAGCAACTATTGTAAAATAATATATTTGTATATGTCTGTGTGTGTTTCCATCAGAATAAATGACTAATTAAACTCCTTGTAGGAAATGTGTATGTATCATTTATTAGTAAATCTACATACCATAAGTATAGTGTCTGGTGCATCATCTGCTCCACAAACAATTATTAAATGAATTGACAGATGCATAAATACATAGAGGGGAGTCAAGAAAGGATTTCTCTTCTTGTCTGGAAGATATCTCCACCTTTAAGTCTAAAGATTAAAGAAGACAGCATTTTGATGGCATCCTTCAAAAGGATGGTCCCCACCATTTCCCTGTCTTGTACCACAGATGCGGACTGGCAACATCTTTACTACGAAAAACCTTGTATAAAACTAATAAAACATGAATAAAACTATCAAGTGGCTTAAGAACAAATCTTACAAAGAATATTCAATACTTATATGACATTATTGAAATAAATACAAATATACACAGCCACAGAAATATTCCCTTAAATTTTAGTTTTTTTAAAATTGTACTGAAAGGAAATCTTGGAAATGTTTAAAAGAAAATATAGGAGAGTAGGTAGGTAAGTTGAGGGATAGATGGATAAATGATAGGTAGATAGATAGATAGATAGATGTTTAAAAAGTCCAACAGAATACACAAAAGTAAAATACAATCCAAAAATTGAAAATAATATATTTAACATATAACTATATAAAAACTGAGGTTTATTGTTCAAAATATTTGAAGACCTTGTACAAATTAGGTAAATAAAATAGAGGATCTTATAATAAATAAACAAAAATAAAGAACAGGCAGTGTATAGAAGAGAACTGATGTCTCAACAAGTACATTAAAACATGTTCGCCTTCACTAGACATTAACAAAACACAAATTAAATGATACAGAGACACCATATTTTATAAATATGGTAGATAAACTGAAAATGCCTGACCATATCAAATGCTGGTGAGGATGTGGAACAATAATTTATTATCTGGGGGCAGTATACATTACTACAATCTATGGATACTTACTTGGGAATATTTCCAAGAAGTGAATGCAGCTAGTAATTGTATGACACAATCAGTAACTCTGTTTTTATAAATATTCACCCTTCTTCTGCTTCTAATTGTGAAAATTTAAAAACAAGCAAATAAAACCTGATTGTCCATGAATAAGAGAACAGACAAGTAAATTGTAATACAGTCAAATAATACCATACACCTTTAAAATCAATAAACTATAATATTCCATGGCACAGTGTGAATAAATACTAAATATATATTGACCCCAAACAATTTGTAAACATATATTTTTGTTTTGTTTTGTTTTGGTTTTTTTTTTTTGCTCTTTTATCAGAACTTTATTTTTTTTTTAAAGATAAAAGGAGGGAAACATTAACAGACATACAACATTTTACAACATATCACAAGCACAGTACAGACAATACAGAGTTACAAACAAAGTGGTAGGGAATTAACAATGGTGGTTGTACTACATATTGATATCTTCAAAGTGGTTTCTCATGAAAACAGATATAGACATGCAATACTGGTCAACCAAAGACTCATTGACAGTTTCTTTCAGCATAGAAATAGAAGACAGAAGAACAACCATGTTAACTATCCTGTATATACATACATACAAAATTTCTCCTTTTTTCCCTTCTCTTTTCCCACATCCCAGAAGCCCTTTACTCTTCAGTGGTTTCCTATCATTTCACAGTGTCTATCATACCTCCGAGTTTAAATTAACTCTTTCAAGTTTTACACTAGTGACACAATGTGGTGCTTGCACATGTATGTGTAAACATATATTTTGTTATAGCTTTTAGATAATTTTTAAGTGTGGACTGCCATATTATGGCATTTATTGCTATGGACAGTGCCTACATGCATAAATTTATTAAAACATAAATATTAATAATATTTTACATTATTAAAAGCATTAAAAACTATGTTGAGAAAGATAAATAGCAGATAAGAAAGAAGTAAGTGCTTGGAAATAAGTTGAAATAACTAAGGAAATAAGTTGAAACAAAAAAGATCACATAAGAGGTTTCAATTCTATGTGCAAAAAATTAGAAAAATGGACAAAAAGTTAAGATTTGTTAAAACTGTAGGTACGTGCATGTACATTTAGGAGTGATTAATTATATCATCTCTACATTTATATTGAAAATAATTTTGTATGGAAATGTTTTCTATTGAAAAGTAAAATTGCAAAATAAGATTTTAAAAAGGGCTAAACTAAAAATGCATAAGCATTTGTAAGATGTCCTGGGTTTTTTGTGTAACACCTCATTGGAGCATCACTCTATGTGCGGCTGTGTCTACTTAAATATCAACGGACAGGCTTAAGAAGGCAGACAAAGCCAGAGAATTTCTCTGATTTTAGAGACAGGGATTCCTTAGATGTAGATTTTATTCTGAATTTTAAATTCCTACTTGTTGAAAGATCTATCTCTAGCACTTATACCTGTGCTCAATAAATATGCGCTGATCAATCAATAATTACTACAAATAATTTGTTATTCTCATAATAATTATTTAAAGCATATAAAATGTCTAAAGAAAGTTATGTAAATTCATGGCATATTCATTTGATAAAATATTGAGTATTAAAATGATATTTAATTCCTTAGAATCTATTTTTAAATATTAAGTGAAAATGAAAGAAAAATATTGTACAAAAACCATCAGCGTTGTTATATGTATATATATTTGCGTATCACTGTCTTTGCATTCTCCAAATTTTTCAAAGAGCACATCTCAATTCTAACCCTAACAGGTATTTGACAAAGAATTGAAGCGAACAAGTGAGGATGTTGGAGAGGATGCTGGTGAACAACCTGACCTTTATGAATCATTCATCACACGGTAGTGGGGCTGAGTCATTTTTATTTTTGTTTTATGCAGTTCTCACCCCGAACCTATGAACTAGGTGGACATTTTCACCTGCTATATTTTGTTAATAGGGAACTGAGTTTCCCAGATGGTGGAAACTTTTAGTACATTCCTAATGTGTACCAGAAGACAGATCTAACCTCAAGCTTGTCTGATTTTCTTTTCTTTCTTTTTTTCTTTTTGATGTGTATTTTTTAATTTTATTTTAAAGAGAAAAGAACAAAAAATAACAAAAACAAAGACAAGGACAAAACAACACAAAAAAACTGTAGAAAAGATACAGAATTTCAAAACAAGAGGATGGAAAATCAACAACGGTTGTTGTATTACCTCTGATTTTCTTAAGCCTTATGCTGAACAACCAGCTCTCCAAACAAGCTCAGTCATTTCAAGGTGTGCCATGCTTTATTGATGGAAGTCCATGCTCTTAACTTTAAGCTTCCTTTTCCCAGACTGTATCACTGGTATTTAGTTTAATATCATAAATTTAAAACAACAGAAACAATAGCTAAAACTACAGAAATGCCTCTGTTAATAGACTATTTTTTAAAGCAATACTAAATTCAAAGCAAAGTTGAATGGGTAGCAAGAATGTAAGTAGACACTACTCATAGAAGTAGATATTTTTAGGTACATTCTATGACCAGGCACTATGTTAGGGGCTTAATGTGCTATAGATTTTATGTGGACAATAAGCTTATGAAAGGGTATCATTAGATGCCTATGTAAATATACCGAAGCTCTGAGGCAAAATAATTTGCCCAAAATTGCATCAGGGTTTGATAGTTGTTCAGTGTGACTGAGTGCTTGTTTTTAACTATGTTATACTGTTTCAATACAAAACAAAAACAAGCTAAACAATACAAAACACAAAATTCACCCAACCCACATTTATTCTTGCAAATGATAGTATCAGTTATAAATGGTTTGAATCATTCTATGATCCTATACTCCTGCATGTGAGCTTTTTATACCTCAAGTTATATAATGTCCTCAGACTTTCTAAGCCCTTGAATCTGGTTGGTAAAACACATGTTTTTTCGGGTAATTGTTCTTCACATAATTTTATGTCTGGTTTGTGATGGTTCTGAATCTTTGTACATGTTTCAACCTCTATCTGGAATATTCTGATAAGAGAGACTCTGTTCTCTCTCTCTTCTCTGTCTT